ATTACCTAAACTATCGGCCTCTTGAAGCGTGATTCCTGTTCCTGCAGCCCGGTCAGTTTCGCTTCGGCCTTTGAAGGGGGAGGTTGTGTCGCTTACGATCAGAATACACATTACGCAACTGGACGACGTAAAATTAAAATGGGAAATAACCGTAATAAAAATAAGAAGCGACTGGCTTGGCGTTAAGAAACAGGCATAAATATGATAAACCTAATGAAATAAGTATCTAACGACCTATCTACTTACGGTATTAGTGATTACAAACATGTCGGTACATAGCATACGACGCGCGGGCAAGTGGGGGCGAAATTAGAATTTGCGCTGACTTACTATATCCCCATAATTTCGGTCACATATTTTGTCTGTGTAGTGGCCGTGTAAGAATATCCACTACCGCATATCATCCTTTGGATGTCGTAAGAGACGACAGAGGGAAACAAATCAGGAGATGGGCAGCAGCGTCTTCCTAATAACGACTAAAAATAAAAAATAAACTGCTAACAGGCAATCTATGGGGGAGGCTTATGTTCAACATTGAACTATTAATAGACTGTAACGGTCAATTAGTATACAATCGATTATCCCATCATTATAATAAGCTATCAATTAGTTTTCAATCGAGGCTTAGCTCGATTGAAGACAAAAGTTAAAATACAGGATAGCAAAAAGTATATTTGGTTCTTTTGAGATTGATAACATTAAAATAGTTTTGTATAGTATTTTGTCGGTAAGCATTTTAATCATTCTTGTTTGTGAGTGTTGGTACTTGTTACTGAAATGTATTAAATAAAATTTATTTAAAAACTGTTCCCAAATTTATAATGTCTAAATCGTGACGTAGGTTACTGATAGAAAATCTTTTAACGTTCTTGTAATTAAAATAGCTTAGTGTTACGTTACGTGCAAACAGAACCAGCGTTTTTATATTACAGCAATAACTTTCGATTATTTATCAAAGTAAATGGCGGCATGTTTGAACTTTAATAAGAATAAGATACTTGTAGTACTGACGGTCGATACCCTCCTTTTTAATTTCGCTGAGTGCGTTCCCGGGACGTTGCAAACAAAGGGTCCCGTGTCCAACTCACCGACGACGTCCAATAATACTATTGGTCTACAGCAATTTATTCCGATGAGTCATTTTAACAATGCATTATTATTTATTTATTCTTCGTATAACAAAAACAATGAAATTGTATGAAGTGTCATGTGATGCGATTACGAAATTATTACTGCAGTTACTCTTTGTTAACATCATCGAAATACATTTGAATCTATCAAGAAACTGTCAGACAAGAACTAATAATAGACTAACTTTTGATTATAGACACAAAATTTTTGAATTTCGAAATCTAAGTTTCGTTTTTATTTTTAACTGTCTTCCAATTTTTTTTTAATCGAATATAAATAATTTGATGCTTATTTTGAGTGGTGTTTTGGTTTCATCAAACAACGAAACATTAACTTATCATTGATCCATCTCCGTCTCCTAGCAAAATGAGCATGTAAAAGCAAATCTCGGCCTACTTAAAGTTTACGATGGCGTAACTACGATAAAATTTGACGTCAGTAATTATTCTGTCATCACAACTATAAAACCGGTCTGTTTGTCTTACACACGAGAGGGCAATTTGAATCATTATCAAGGTAGCGTAGTTGACCTGGATACAAAACAAACTGGTCCACAAAAGCACAGCCGTCGCTTCGTGACTACTTGTGGTCATCTCTTGTTACAAAATTCTTCATACGCCTCACTTCACAAACTTTTTTATTTATTAAAATCGAATATGAATATTTTTAATGATAATAATTTGCTTTAGTATAATCAATTGTAACCTCGCTTCCTTTGTTTTCGAATTTCATAAAGGCAGTTCCGCACATATTATTTTTTTATGGATTTAAATCACTGTCAAAACCATTATTTAATACAACTCTAGTCGTGATAACAGTTACAAATATTGCTACTTTATCTTCATCGAATAATCCACAGAGGATTATAGATTACTACTCAAACAGATTATTCACAGATAAATTGTATTATTAACTTAAAATAAAATTATGTAATTATAATCATTAAATAAGAAATATTGCTAAAATTGTAATGATTATTAAGTAAAAAATATGAATTTTAATGAATTACATTTTATAATGGAGTTTGTAAGTTAAGAAAGAAGTACCCATAATATGATATTTTATTTCATAGTTTTAAAAGTGAAATCGTTCTAATCGTTGTTTAATAACCCCTCAAGGTCCCAAGTGCGGTGCATATTCTAAGGCGGTTGCTAATCATACGATAATTCGCATTCGTCTGATAATTTTTAAAACTGAAAAGTTTAATTCTTTCAATATTATATACTATATTGTCCGCGACTTAAGGGTGGCCCAGCCGCACCTTAATCTATTTTTCCTACTACTCACATTGGTGTAATGATTTAGTAGCGCAAATGGCTTAATAATATGAGTGAGTTCTTTACGTGGTAGAGCCATGCTGCAGCTTTATTGTGGTTGCAGCACGAATGCAGCTCGAGAGCGGAAGGACCACGCTCTCACAGAATACCAGCGTAAAATAGTAGCTTAATGCTGCTGTGTTTCGTATGGTGAGTGTACATATCCGGATACCATTTTTTACTGGAAACGAGGCATTCCATCTTAGTCCTCAGGAGTGAAAACGCATCTACATTTTGATTTTTAATCGAGGATAGATGTAGATGTCTATGGCCCACAGCATCCACTTACCATCAGGTGGGCTGTGTGCTCGTTTGTCAACCTAATTCTATAAAAAAAAATTGTGCGATAATTCGTATTCGTTCTATGATTTTTAAAACTGAAAAGTTGAACTCTTACAATATTAGCATAAAACTGTTCCTGATAAATTTTATTGACTCACCCATCTTAAGTGGCTCCTCGACTCAGTTTTGTGCTAAAAGATATTATCAATTTGCAGTCATTAGTTTCATTAGCAAGTCGAGACCTTAGCATACATGCACGTACATAAGTAGTATAACAAAGAAGGCCTAGTTATTATAAAAAGGCATTTTAATACGTTTATACATATAGAAGCTAGGTTAACATCAAATAAGACACTGTACGTAAGTTCTTAGTTTATTATTGTTAATTTGATAAAAATATTGCTGTAAAAAGCTATGATATTGATTTAGAGACAAATAGTAGGCCTTTCCTTTTAGTTTGTAGAAGTCGTTTACCTTGCTGAACCATTGCAGCGTATATTTCACTGTTCTCAAGCAATAACATTGCTAATTGCTATTTTGAGTGTTAAGTTACCACGTGCTTGGCAGTGAAGGAAAACATCGTGATGAAAAATCCTGCATCACCGAGAAATAAAAATATTTCGAAAATATGTGAAATCCGCCTACATACTAGATGGATGTAGCGGAGTAACCACTATAACTTTCTCAGATATGAAAAAAGGTCTGGTTCAAGCAGTGGGTCCTTATTTTGTAGCTTTTAGCTTGTAGCTATACTATATTCAGTTCAGAAATGTATTGATGTACCACGAAGTACAAATAAAAAATACTTATTCCTTTTTTTATCTGTACGAATTGAACATGAAACAATATTAAACATTGTCGTGTATCGTTCCCAGAATTTAGAATGGAAAACTTATTATTCCTGCATATGTAGTAACTATAATACACACTCAGTAACAAGTCAAATAGATCAATTATTGCGAGGAAATTCGAAGTCCGCTAACACGCATTGGGTCAGCGCGACGGCTTCGTTCCTGATCCAAACTCTGTCAGTAATGAGAGACGTATGTCCGGCACTGAAACGTATACAGACCGTTAATGTACGTTATATTTTATATACTCTGAAGATTATATATTTGATTACCTAGTTGTCAGCTGTCTGGGCATCGGGAATGGTACTCTAGCCAGCGCGTTGTAAATTGTGAAATGGATTTTTCTATGCCACTGAATATTCTATACGCCGCATCTAAAAGCATTACATGGGCGTTGGTACGTTAGCAATAAGTGAGATGGTTTGTTTTTATATAATAATGTCCACCATACCCAATTTCGGTCACGACGGCCCGCCTTAACGGAGATTAGCCATCGGTGCAGGACAGGATTATATTGGCCAAGTGTATGCGCACTGCGCAGGCACAGGTGCACTCTCTATTCCCTCACTCTCGTAATCCAATGGGACGGTAAAACGACACGACCGGCGAGAGATCGGGTGCATGACGGCTTTACGTGTTTTCCGAGGCACGGGCTTGAGACATCGACAACTTGCTGACTCCGGGCAGCTATTGAGGAGAATGTCTTGACGGAAAACTCAATAATTGATTTTTGGGCCCGACCCGGGATTTGAACCCAAGACCTCATGATCTGCAGTCGCACTACTACAACCACTACACCAACGAGGCGGTCTAAAAGTTTTTTATAGTATATAGGTAACAAACGAGGACACAGTCCACTTGACGGTAAGTGGTTACTGTGGCTCTTCGATATCTGCATCTATCCTCGATTACGAATCAAAATGGAGATGCGTTGACCCGTGAGGACTAAGATGAAATGCCTTATTTCCTGTAAACATTCTGAGAATCGTCTGGAATTCTGTGAGAGCGTAGTCCTTCCCCCGGTCGAGTCAACCCATTAGTGCTACATCTATACTACTTATATAGCTGGTTCTATCACGTATAAATACTTTATAAACAGCTTTCTCATTATTGTGTGTTGAACATTTGTAGTTCCGAAAGGAAGTCATTTCTTTACCCGAAGGGTCAAAAGAACGGCAGTTGAATAAGGCAGAGCTCACGAATAATGGTAAATAAATATTAAAGATAGTAGCGTAATTAAGGGTATGAAACGCGAAACGTGGGTCGTGAGTTCGAATACACCATTCGACTACTGTGGGAAATCACTCCAAGCAAATGCATTTTAGCTAATTGGGAGCGTTTTACTTTAAAATATAGCTACATGATCTTTATGTTGATAACTGATATGCAAGATACTAAAACTAGCTTTGCTTTGTTCTAGGCCCACGTGGTGTCTGCCTTCGAGCAAAGCCTTTCGAATATGACACAGCGTCTGCAGCAGTTGACCGCCACCGCTGAGAGAAAGGTATGTTATCGATTCCACAAACCAGCTTATGTTACATACATCTTCTGTTACATTTAAATATTTTCAACCTTCTTAAATCTAAAATTAAAAATAAAGGCCGTTTAGATTTGCTATTAATGAAGTTAATTTTAAACTATTAAAATAATCTTAAGTTAATTTTAATCCCACTGTGTGACTGTCTATTTTCTATCTAGACGAAAACACTTTTACCTCGGCTATAAATTATATAAATGAGATCCCAGATGCGACCTCTGTCTAAAAAACATTCGAAAGTTTAAAAAAACTCAACATGTTTGTAAAATTTGATTTGATAAACTTCATGTTCAAACTTTAGGTATTCAGGTATTTTCATTATTTGTGATCTCAGAAGGAAATAATAATGTATTGTTTGTGTTGGAAATTCATAATATTTAGTTACCGAACGAGTTTCAAATAAAAAAGAAATGTAAGTGTTCCTTATTTTTGGCCTAATTGGGCTTTAATTGTTTGTTAATTATATTGATCAGTGCAAAACAATATGATGAAGATAAACCATTCATAGACTGCAGTTATTGTTGCCTCGGTATGGACTAGCTGAAGGTTTTCTTCAGTGCGTCTGAGCCTTGGCATGTCACTCTGCAACATGGTACAAAATATGGCTCTGATTGTTTTGCTTTGTAAATATAAGTACCTAACAAATGAAAAGTTTTATGGGTGAAACTTAGTAATTTTTTAAAATTATTTTTACTAAAAAAAAAAACAAGTTTATTCAATACTTAAAGAACTTAAGAACTGGAATCGAAAGTTTAAAACACTGGATTGTACTAAAAATAAAACTAACTTTATATCTAGTACGTCGATCTGTTGACACGATTAAGAAAAACTTGAATTCATTTCCCAGTGAAAGACGTTCGTTATAGCATTAACAAAAAGAACCAGACTGAATGAAGAACTTAACAAGGTCTTGTGAGAAACTATGATCTTGATCCACTTAGTTTCACATTCGCGAATACACAATTTATTTATTTCTTATTTTAATTTATTCAGCTCTCAACGGAAGAAACTTTCTTTCAACTGATGTGTACCTAATGCCGGTTTTTAATTGAATTTATAATTTAATTATATTAATGGATTAAAATGGATTCTGGTTTTCCTTATTTAGGAAGCGAATCATACTCGTTTATTACTAGTATAAATCAAAATACTGTTTTGACAAATCTTTATGGGTATCAAATCTTGTAAGTTCTTCACTCCTAGTTGTAACTGTTTGCATCAGGATTCCGAGTTAACGGAACTTCGTCAAACGATCGAGTTACTCCGAAAGCAGTCAATCCAGGCCGGGCTCACGACGGCGCATATGCAGTCTATGGGAATCCGAACAGACGGAGTCAATATCACAGGACAGGTAATAATATTTTACTATATTATATAGATTTAAGAAAACAAAAGGACAAATACAAGTAGCATCGAAAGAAAAATGGTTTATTGTCCTTTTTTTAATTATTTTAAAAATACTCTTTTTCCTCAGATAAGTATATTTTTTGAATGCAAGTGAAGTCGATACACGAACAGAGCCCATCTAATAGGAAGTGAATGTGATGGCTCATAGAGGTAATCTCTCTTAAAGAAACAATCAAAACGCAAATTTGTTAGCCCTTGAGTAATAAATAGTAGAGTATTAATAATTTTAAACGTGGTAGAGCCATGCTGCAGTTATATTAGTAGTATAGTTGTAGCACGAATGGGTCGACTCGACCGGGGAAGGACCACGCTCTCACAGAATACCAGCGTCAAATAGCAGCTTAATGCTGCTGTGTTTCGTATGGTGAGTGTAGAGAACCGGAGAGCCTTTTTACAGGAAACGAGGCTTCTCGTAGTAAGTAGTAAATAGTAATGCTGCTGTGTTAAGTATGGTCGCTATACTAAACATAGCAGCATTATATTGCTATTTTACTTTGTTCGTACTGCAGTTTTTATTCTATAAAAAAACCTGCAGTTATAGTATGGCGCAACATGCCTTTACCACATTAATGTAATATCACTTAGAAATGGTGAACTTTGAATGGTCCAGCTTGTTGTTGGGGTTAATTATATTTATTATAGATATATTATATGTACACAAAACCACCGAAAAAAATGTTCCGAACCCAGCCGTCCCAGCGGCGGCACATACACATTTTAATGTTTTATTTACATTTTACTAGATTGCCAGGATCGTCTTTTTTTTTCGGGCGTTACAACACCGATTGATCGATCGTCGATCGATGGCATCGATCGACGGTGGAATGGATTAGTCGACGTCGATCGATAATTTCTACCACACCGATCGTCGATGGCATCGATCAATCGTAGAATAGATTGGTCGACGTCGATCGAGCTGTTTGATTATTCGAGAAGCCGCCCTACTTCACCAACCGCATTTTAAAAGATACTAATGATAATTCCAAAATCGCTTCGATTAATTGTCAATCGACGTCGTGCGATGATTGAACAACGTTTTACCGACCAGTAATTAGCTAAAGCTATGCCACGTGTCAAATCGATAATACAACATCGATCGAAGTCGATCAATGGCATCGATTGATTGGTGTGGTAAAAAATCATATACTTATTTCATATTTGTTAGCCAAAGGATTAAATTTAATAAAACGATAATTGTGGATGAAAGATTGAGGGGCGCAGTGGTGGATACAAGGGTTTACCGGGGTTCTAACGTAGGAACGGATCATTATTTGGTTTTATGCCGAATTAATGGTCTATTCAGGCGTTGGCGTCATCGGTCATCTGTGTCTACCACTGCGTTACAGCGTATTAGAACAGAAAGGTTGCAAGATGAAGGTGAGAGAAACAAGTTCAAATGTAGACTGAAAGAAAATATAAGTGGTTTGGATGAATTATGTATGAAGGAGTTAGACTTGGAGAATGTGTGGCAAAATGTAAAGAAAGGTTAAGTGCATGCAGCTACCGAAATATATGGTGTTAGTAAGAGAAAGAATGAAAGGAAAAATAATACGTTATGGTGGGATGATGAGATACGTATGGAAGTTGAAGCAAAGAAGAGAGCATGGCTAGATTTACTAGCAACAAAGGCTGGTAATTCTAGCGGTACGAATGATGATATTGAAAGAAAAAAGGCGGTCTTTAGACATCTTAATAAGAGAGTAAAAGAAGTAGTTGAAAGAAAAAAGCAAGAAAGAACGGATAAGAATGATAGAAGAATATCGGATAACTTCCAGGCAAATATTAAAATCTTCTGGAAACTGGTAAGAACTGCCAGGGGACATTCAAAACAGCCTATGATGAATGCTATAAGAGACGAGAATGGCTATATTCTGAATGATGAAGTTTTGAGTTTAAAGAGATGGAAGGAATATTTTGAAAGCGTGTTTATGAGTGAGGAGACAACATGTGTACGAAGTGAAGTAGAAACTCCGAAAGAAGAGGAAAGAGGTAGCGAGATAAGTATAGATGAAATAATGAAAGCAATGAAAAGCATGAAAGCGGGTAAGGCGCCCGGATATGATAGAGTTTCACTCGAAATGCTAAGGGCTGGAGGTGGTGGCAGGCCTGCTGCACACCTTGTTTAATTTATGCTGGGAACTGAAGCGGGTACCGGTAGACTGGTGCAAAGCCGTGATAGTCCCAGTATATAAAGGAAAAGGGTCGCAGCAGGACTGTAAAAACTACCGTGGCATCAGCCTTCTTAGCATTGTGGGAAAACTGTACGCTAAGGTACTGATTGAAAGGGTCATGAAAGAAACTGATAGAAAAATTTGGGATGTGCAAGCGGGATTTAGAAAGGGAATGGGATGTACAGATCAAGTCTTTTCCATGCGCATGATCGCGGAGAAGTTTCTGGCCAAAAACCAAAAGGTTTTTTGTGCGTTCATGGACTTGGAAAAGGCCTATGACAGAGTGGATAGGGATTTGCTATGGCAAACACTGAACTCATTTGGTTTGAGCGCTGGCTTGATACAGGCATTGGAGTCTCTTTATAGGGACTCTAGTGCTTGTGTTAGGATCAACGGGGTCTACTCGGACTGGTTTGACATCCATAAAGGTGTCAGACAGGGCTGTGTGGCTTCCCCGTGGCTGTTCAACCTATTTATGGACAGTTGTTTGCAAAATTTGAAAGTTGAAGAATGCGGATTAAGAATGGGTGAGTTAACCGTCAAATGCCTTTTGTACGCCGATGATCAAGTCATTCTTGCGTCGTCGGCGGCCGAGTTGCAAATGATGGTTACATTAATGAACGGATCATTAAAAGAAAGGGGTATGAAAGTGAACGCAAGTAAGACGAAGGTTATGGTGTTTGAAAGAGAAGAAAGTAAAACGATTTGTGAAATAAGAATAGAAGGGGAGTTGATCGAGCAAGTAGATGAGTTTGTATATTTGGGCTGCGTATTTAGCAGGGATGGGAGATATGATAAGGATATAGAACGACGAGTGAATGCGGGAAATAGAGTAAATGGGGCCTTGCACTCTATTGTGAAGAGTCAAAATGTGTCAAAAAAGGCACGTATGGCAATTCAAAATGCTGTGTTGGTCCCTACTTTAACGTATGGTAGTGAAAGTTGGGTGTGGCAGAAGAAGCACGAGAGTAGAATAAACGCAGTAGAAATGCGGTCGTTAAGGAGTATGTTAGGGCTGAATCTGAATGACAGGGTAAGAAATTGTGTAATAAGAGAAGAGTGTGGTTTGCAAGATGATGTTGTGACCAGGATTAAGAAAGGAATGCTTCGGTGGTTTGGTCATGTGGAAAGAATGAATGAGGAAAGAGTGACAAAGAAAATTTATGTTGCAGAAGTGAATGGCAGAGTTGGAAAGGGACGTCCTAGGCGAAAATTTATCGAACAAATTGGCGACTTATTGGAAACGGGCCAAATTAGGAGTACCCTTAACCGACGAGCATGTATGCGTAGGTGTATGGATCTGAAGGAGGCGAGAGAGGTGTGTCAGGATCGTGCCAAATGGAAATCTGTAGTCTCTGCCTACCCCTCTGGGTGACAGGCGTGAGTGTTTATGGATATGGAAAATGAAGTGTGAACGGAGTGACTAATTCAACACTTTTCAAAGCTTCAGTTTTGGCGTGCTATACCTCCCCTTTTTTATAATTACATAATATCATTGGTTGGGGTACGGTCTAATCTCAATTCAAAAAGCTTGTTAACACATTCTTGAAAATTCCTTTGACAAGTACACGTGGGAAAGCGTTGATCATTAACGTCTTTTTAAGTCCTTCTAGTTTACTCTTGATAAATTTCGTGTGTTAAATTGCCCATAACTCTCGTTCTACATTCAAAACGTTAAAACGCGAGTGACAATACGTCTCATTATTAATGCCCTATATTTATGTCAATTTAGATCAATCATGCGCCAAGAAGTACATGTAAAAGACCTACTTTGTAGATATTGTTTATAAACGACTCATCGGATCGATTTATTATGGACACGTGTCATCTAGAGCACGAACATTGAGAATTATTTTGTAGTCGTTATCACATAAAATATTCCTGCCATGTAACCATTTTTTCTTAAATTTTGACATTCTAGATTTAAGCCATAGTAAATTTATGACCTTTATTTACCGATTTTGTAAAGTACTTATAGCATTAAGTTTGGTTATGCTCGAAAGTAGTGATCAACTTTTATACTTGATAGAGGCACCTCGTTGCAGTTGTGTTAAAGCTGCAGTAGCAGTAGGCATAGCTCGACTACACCAGGATCCCACCAAAATAGCACACCAGCGTCAAATAAAAGCTTAGTACTTCTGTGTATATATGGACTAAACTTTTTTGTTGGAAAAGATTCATTCCATTTTAGTCTTCAGGGATGATAACGAACCTAAATTGTAATAATTAGATGTAAGACATGACTATGAGCTACAGCATCTACTTTCTACCAGATTGATTGTTTGCTTGTTTGTCACACTTAAAAAAAACTTGGAGTTTAAGTACAACTAGGAAATAGGTTAAAATCCCTATATGTAAGTGAGAGGAGAAAACCATTTGCAACGGTTGGCTATTTTTGGGTTATTGGATTTTTTTAAAGGATAGGGTGACAAAGAAGCACACAGTCCACCTGATGGTAAGTGGTTGCTGTGGCCCATAGACATCTACATCTATCCTCGATTACGAATCAAAATGGTGATCATCATCATCCGTGAGGACTAAGAGACGGAATACCTATTTTCCAGTACCCTTTTTACTGGAAAATAGGTATTCCGGTTCTCTACACTCACCATATACACAACACACACAACACAGCAGTATTCACGCTGGTATTCTGTGAGAGCTTGGTCCTTCCTCGGTCGAGCCGACCCATTCGTGCTACAACTATACTACTAATATAACTGCAGCATGGCTCTACCACTTATAAAACAATTATTATTAATGTACATTAATTTTTAAATTTTTCAGCAAAAACTAAACTAGTTGACTTGGCATTAGACAAGTAACTACAGATATTGTTTTCTCCAAAAATCTCTTTTCGTCCACAATCCAGTTTGGCTTCATAAAGAGGGTGAAATCAATTTAAAACAACATTAATATGCAATGTTTTACGTAACTCCAGGACATCAAAAAAGTACCTAAAAATGTTTTAATGTGTAACTAATAGGTACTGAGAGATAGTATTTTATTTTGATACGAGTATTTGTATCTCTATACAATTTCGTTGGTGTTCACTGGCAGAGAATGCATGTATCTTAGGTAAAAATGTTACAACAAAGAATAATAAAAAATGCCATTTTAGAATAAATAGGCATTAGTTGCGTAATATGTAAAAAAATTAACGGAGATACGAAAATAGAACTCGCGTGTAATATGTAGAAAATACTTAATACATCTTAGAGGCCATCCATAAATTACATCACACGTTAAATGTGAGGGGGGGGGGGCCACAAAGTATGACATTGTGACAAGGGACAGGTGGTTTAAAACCTATGTGACGTCACATGTTAAAATCTAAAGTACTAAAACGCGATGTTTAAATGTAAACCAAAACTTAAAAGTCGTGAGCGAGTGCACGCTCGCTATTCAACCGTTTTTCGTTCTGTCCATTATCTAAAATATTTGACTTTATTTTGATCTTATTGAAGGTTATTTTTAATTTTAATGAAAAATTGGAAAAACTGCTGTTTTAACTTAATTACTTCTAAAATACAAAATAAGGTTTCACAAGTGCGATCACCTGTGACATACGTATCACAAGGACTCGTCAACCATTAAAATTTGTGTGACGTAAATTTTTGTGGAGTTATGGATGCAAATTTAATAATTTTAATTACTTTAAAATTACCTTACCAATTTTAAAACTATCAAGTTACGCAGTATATCTCACTATTTTTCATAATCCATAATCCATGTGTTGACTCCTAAATAAAATGATGCGGAAAGTAACTTTTATGTTACACATTTAGAAAAGTATTTGTATCGAATATTTACATAATATTTCATTTTAATTTTTGTTCATAGGATACTCTAAAGTAATATATAATAACTCTCAATTTTCGGCGTCATGTTGTACATCGACAGGTAACTCTTTTCTTCCAGAAAATGTTCCATCAGAAATAAGTACATATAATATAGTAAAACAATTTCAATCTTAACATACAAGAAAAACTTAAAAAAAATCTGTTCTTTTTTTAAAACCCTCTCAGAATTAGAAGAGGCCTGTGCCCAGCAGTGGGACTTATATAGGCTATAATTTTAATTTTATCTACCTTTTTATCTTTTTAAAATAGTTTTGACGCTTTTGGAAGGAAAAATTAATCCGCCTCTGGTCTTGCAGAAAACAATTCCTTTTTCATTTACACTGCTTTGAATTAAATTTTGACACTGTTCACATTTTAAACGCATGTTTAATTTTCTTTCAACAAAGCCTCCAATATATTCCATTATAGTTTCAGTGTACTGAGTATTCTAAATACTGATCATACAAATCACTCGTAATTTTCGGGAATATTTACGTATTTTTATTTACATGTTTCTATAGGTATTGTTTACCGTTTAAGCTTGATATCTATTAGAAAAAAACCGACGGGAATTTTTTTAGTACTGGTTTATAGCTGTTCACATAAGAAATTAAGATTGTCCGGTATCTTCTAATTAGTCAGCATCCAAATGTGTACCTGTATCCACAAAAGTGCAGAGCCACGCTGCAGCTATATTATGTTTGTACTACGAATGGGTCGGCTCGACTTGAGAGGGACCAAACTCTCACAGAATATGAGCGTAAATAGCAGCTTAGTACTGCTGTGTTTCGTATGGTGAGCGTAGAGAACCGGAGATCCATTTTACTGGAATCGAGGCATTCCATCTTAGTCCTTAGGGGTAACAACGCATCTGCATTTTGATTCTTAATCGAAGTTAAATGTAGATGTCTATGGGCCACAGCATCCACTTACCACCAGGCGGACTGTGCTTGTTTGTCACCCTTATTCAACTTTAAAGAAAACTTATATTTTTCATCTCTATTTAGCGCACAAAGTATTGGTCCAGTAGCTGCAGATGCTTTGAGTTTTAAAGTTTTAAAAGCTTCTAAGGTACAGCTGGAAGCTTTAGGTCTACAATCTGGAGCATACACACTAAGGGCTGAAGCGTATTATAATGTGCAGAAAAAATGGAACATTGAACAAAAAATATAATGACAGTATACGTATAATTGTATTAGTTAGAATAAATGTTCATAATTTTAGGAGCCCAGTAACGCACAAACGCAGCAGTCGTCACCGCAGCGTACCGCACAAACTGGTAACGGGGCGATCACGCGTCACCTCTCAACAGACAGCGTGTCCAGTATTAACAGCCTCAGCAGTGGATCATCAGTGCCACATGATAAAAAACACAAGAAAAAAGGATGGGTATGTATCAGATCATTTCTTTAATATTTCTATTATTGGTGAAAATAAGCACCAACCACATTGATACAATCGCAATTTATTTAATAACAATTGATAAACCATACATGTGCGATCGTACGCACCAAGTTTTGTGATACGTGTTAGAAAACTTACCTAATACTTATTTAAAATCAGTTTGTCGAGTATTAGTTAGCACCAGTAACAGACACCTGAGAGATGATTTACGATTGTGATTAAACCCATTCGTGTACAAAAGATAGGTTTGATATTTTTATCTAAAAAAATGGTACTAAATAATATTTACTTAAGTGCCATAATGAAATTACGTGAACTGATTGAAAGTTTGGCGACAATATCCTTATTTCTTCTCGAGATGACGACACGAATGGGTTAATTAACTAACACACACACATCCTTTTAAAACCAGCAGAGTCGAACGCTTTTGAAATTTAGACATTCAAATATCAGTCTCCCTAAAACAGATTCTTATTGGATAGATAGTTAAATAAAATAAACAAACGCGTCACTTTATTGTAAATGAAAAAAAAAATGGCAGAATATTTTTCAACGTAATTATTTTAGCCAGATATCTTTTACATTTAATAAAGTAATGCATGAATCATTTATAATATTTTATATGTACAAAATTATTTACTGTCAAGTTAGGTATATCGAATTACTTAATATTACTTTTTTATGCGTGAAAACATTTAAAGCTTAAAGTGTTGTGGGGACGAAATAACAATAAAAATACACATAATGTAGTAAATCTGGTGATATTAATTATATTGTCATGCCGTAGTGACATTTATATATGATGCCACTCAGATTATTGCTTAATGCTTTTAAGGATCGTTTTTGTAACTGATACAGCTTATTGGTTGCCTTTAATAATAAATAAAATAAAATTACAATTTGCATTGTTAGAACTTCAATAAAGCTTGACCTCAATAGAATGATGATTTAACCTCCAAAATTCACAACGATAGTTTCACAATATTTTATGTTTTAGTATTTAATTTGTTTTATTTAAAAACGATATTAAGAACATTATGTGGGTGGATCGCAACTGATATCCTCAGTCGTTCCCTTTTTTGTTTTGTTTTTTTTTTTTTACGTATTTTCTAGTGTTCAGTTCCATCTCGGGAACAATGTTCATACAATGTAGCAAATGTTTAAAAAATTTTTTGCTATTGTAAGCGGGAATATACATAAACTTAAATTCCTTTATAGTCCTTAAAAAAATTGCTCTTCCAGACTAGCCTTTACACATTAATCTCTAAAATATCACATTTAGATGTATGTTGAGTTAATACATAACATTGCCGAACCTCATTTAATGTGTATATAGATAGATCATTTTTGAAAAACTGTGTTAAATTGATTTGTAGGTATACTTAGTGGCGTGCGTGGCGACACTAACGTGAATTCATGTTCGTTTTGCAGTTGAGATCATCGTTTACAAAGGCCTTCTCAAGAAACGCAAAAATATCAAAGACAGCAAAGCACTCATCTCTCGGGCAACTGTCGTCACAGGACAGCTCATCGGGCTCACATCATTACGATGACCCGCATACCATTCGTGAAGGGAGCAACGAGAATAGTCTAGAACATTCCCACGAAGCACTTCCAGACACGAAAGACAAAACAGCATGTCCGCAATCTAAGACTGATGAACAAGCCAAAGGTAAATGCTTAGTTATTTTATAGCTAATACTCACTTGTTAAACAACTGTGTCATATTTTAAATGCACTTTAGTTTACGTAAGTCGTCTGCTTATCGTAATTGATATGTCGTGTTATGATGAAGGAAAACAATCCATCACCTTATTTAATTATACGTACTCTATGAGACATGAAAGAGAAAGGTTTTTTATTGGTTCTTTAGAAATAGTTGAGTAGTTAAAATTAAACACAGTAGAATATTAATTATTGCTTTCGTATTTGCTGACAGTTTGTGACATAATGCCGACGTAAAAATCAGGTAGAATTTTCTAAAGTTTTGCACGGCAAACTTTAGACCATTATCGATGAGGTAGCAGCACTCTATCACATCATACTGCGCGTTTTGTATAAGGCAATGTAATAAAATAGCTGGAAGGTCTTGTAGGCACAAACTAAGTCATGTATACCAGAAGTAAAATACCAAGACCGGTGATTCCAGCAAATCGTGGCCGACGAGTGCCTAAGGTGCGACTTTTAAAGGACTGTATAATGCAAACACATGAACAAAAGTTACGATCTTGTTATATTAGACTAGCATCAACTGTCAATCCTAATTTAAATAACACGGTAGATGAAGCGCGTAGAACTAATTAGTGACGTCTAGCATACGAATATGAAAAGAGCAAAAATCTAACATCTAGTCATTTTAGGATTTAGCATTTGACGACTCAAAGAAGTGCTTTCATAAAATTATACAGCACGCGAACAAACGAAGGCACCAATGGCATTGTTAATACAAATTTAAATGCTAATTTATCACGTGTTAAATAAACAACTAAAAACAATTAAAACATTTTGAGGACATGTGAAATTAGCCAACTCTGCGGCGTGATTTTTAATTTTTCCCATATTATCAATATTGTGTACATCTTTATTAGGTGTGCATAATATATAAAAACATTACAATAATTTTGTTTATATTATATTTACACATATTATGTAACTACTGTTAGTGTACCTAATAAATAAATAAATTATTAACACTTAATAACATTCTACTATTTCATAGAAAATTTTGCATGAACATACAAAATCTCTTATACATATATAAGTAAATAAAAAATGGGTAAAACGAGAAGTTGACAAATTGTACACCAACAAATAAACTAGCCCTGCCTTTAATGTTTACTCATTCACTTTAGCCAATAAACAATTCTTTGTTTATTACTTAGTGAAATTTAGATGAGTGAAAGCTGTGTCACTTAGCACTGGCTTCATGGAATATGTAAAATACAAATAGAAAACGACTTTATTGTTTTCATATAAGTATAACTTCTATAGAAATTACTGTTGTTGGTTTCTAAAAACCCAGGACCTGCAACTGAAGTTCTAGGTTCGATTGCTAGCCTGAATCAAGTAGTACTCCAATCCACTACGGTCATAATTTAAAACAAAACTAAAGGTATAGCACAGAACCTCGTTCAGAGCTTACTTAGAGTTTAGAACCGGTGTTAACTTCCTTACAGCCTGACGGCGTTCTTGGCAAGATCACACGGGTAACAGCAGTTTTACGGAGGTCTGCACTTTGAAAGATATGTTCAAAGTTCAAATAAGCTTATACGTATTAAATTTGATTAAATATGTAACAAGTACTGATTTGTGATTTCTTTACAGATAAACCAGATGACTCCGGACTAGTCGATGAATTAAAAAGACAGCTAAGGGAAAAAGATTTAGTTCTCACTGATATTAGACTGGAAGCTCTCAGCTCCGCTCACCAACTTGAAAGCCTTAAAGATACCGTCATAAAGATGAGGGTGAGTAGGTTGGAATGAAATATTTTATGAAATATGTAAATATCATTTATATAATAGAAGTGAGGATAAAAATTTGTAATTTTGTAATTTTTTTCTGTCCGAATGTCCTAATGTATCAAAGCATTATAACTTCTATAGTTATTGACCACTAAGGCGTCATACGCTGACCATTTTTTTTATTTATCCATGTTTAATTAAAGATATTCTTAAACACCTTGAAGGGGAAAAACATAAGCATATTTTCACGCCACAAAAAATATGTTTGATGACGTGACAACTCTTACAATTTGTATTGGACCGACGATAGAGGCTAATTCTTCTATTTCATGCCTCCTCAAAATTAGGCGCTTAATAACTTTTTAATACTTTTAAATGAAATATTGTAAACTGCACTTTTATTAAAAAATTTCACTCATTTGATTGATAGGCTGATATCACATATTTTAATTTTCTTTTACTGTAGAACGAGATGCTAAACCTGAAGCAGAACAACGAGCGGCTGCAGCGGCTGGTGACGTCACGCTCGCTGGCCGGCAGCCAGAGCTCGCTGCCCGCTTCCGACGACCCGCGCCGATTTAGCCTCGCGGACCAGCCCGCATTGCACCAAGTACGCTGCCCACTTATTCTCAACCCTATATTCAACGCAATTCAACTTAATTTTCCAAAATACGTTTTGAGAATTTATGAGACTACTAGCCATACTCTTTACAGTACCTAAAGTTATCTCTGAATTCTATTCTTAATGTAATGAGGCATACATATTTATGGTACACATTATAACTGTAGCATAATGGTTACACTATAACTGTAGATAATGGGTTTGGAATACACATAATGGGTTTGGTATTATGTGGGTATAGGTTTAACCATTTATACGAAACTAAACTCTAAATAACTTAAATTTAATTTGAATGATAAATAGGAATATTATCACTAACAGAAACAGAAACAGAAGCTTTTTCATTCAATGTAGATTATAACAATAGTTATTAAAAGTCACTTTTTCATTTACCACTGGTTCGCAAAAAAAAAACCTCTGTTCTGGGAAGAACCGAACCGGACCATTTTTTTCCAATAATAGCTACAATCATTTTACATTAACAACATAAGACAAATTAGAAATAGCTTCGTAGCGATCACCCTTCCCAGGGGTTATTATCATCCATAAATTCCTTAATATTATAATAACCCTTTTTATACAAACTTAGTTTAATAACATTTTTGAACTTTGTGTATGACAAATTTTTGTATATTTTCTATTTTAACCTTGCTAGTATTCTTGATTAAATAATATGAATGATAAAATGACGAAGACTTAAGGCAGATAAATCTAAAATACAATTTTACAAAAAAATACGTTTGATATATTATATTTTATGAAGTTATCACAAAAATTTCTTTATATTCTACAGGCGACAATGGATATGCATTCTCAACCTCTCGACCTAGACTTCAACTGCACCCTCAATTCGACTCAAACGATGGACTTCTCTAAGACGAGCTCGCCAAAATCAAGCATGGTGGAGCCCATATACGGAAACAAGGCTGTTTGCGAATTAAACGAAAACAGCGAGACGATTTTAGGCGCTTTGAATGGATCCAGTGATATGTTTACTAACGGACTCAATCCCGGTGAAAGATTAAGTGGTGATTACGACATCAACACGGTGCTACCGCCGCCCAAAAGCAGAGAGTTAGCTATTGGGGAGAGTTATTCTGATATTGGTAAGTTGGATTATTTAGTTACTCGTAGATTCCTGTATGATTTCTATTATAAATCTAAGTGACAAACGAACTTACAGTCCACCTGCTGGTAAGTGGCTACTGCAGTCTATAGGCACATGCAGCCAACTTCAAACAAAGAAAAGAAAGATGCGTCACCTCTGAGTACTTAGATGGAATGCCTATAATTATTCTGGCTCTCTATACCTTCCCAAAGTGCAAGCACTGCATTTTGCTAAAATAGGTAAGGGTGGTATTTAACCAGATCGGATCCTAGACATAAAAGAAATCCTACACCTAGTTTTTTGGTGGTAGGTCTCCTATTATCCAGTCTCCTATCATATATACCACCCTCTTATCTATATATATTTAAAGAAAAATTATGGCGCCAAATTATTGCAGTATAAAAAACATTACCTTGTTTCGCATCGCGGGTATATTAACAGAGTAGGGTTAATAAGGTCTGCATTTTTTCCATACAAATAATACATTTGTATGGAAAAATATTATATTCTCCCCCTATTCTCTTCCTGGATAATGCCTCTAGAGTATCGTTTTTGTTTATAAAAATCTAAGCCTATTACAAGCATGCCCCTGTCATTAATTTTTATCCGAAAAATTATTACAAAAATAAATATGACTTTCCAAAAACTAAAAACAAAGCCTCGTTTTTACCTTCATAAAGAGATGACTACCAAAGAAATTTGAATAGTTTTTTTTTTAATATAAAACGGAGCGAGACATAGATCTATTCTTCCTTAAAATTTTGATACCAAAAATAATTTAAACGGCTTAGTTTTCGAGGAGAATACGCACAGAAATAGTAATAATAAGACAATAGAAATAAATTAGCGCCCGATTACTTCCAAAACTGATGTCGCCACATCTTCCTGTAATATAAACATACGCAACGCACAATTCTAAGGTAATGTTTCACATTACATTGCTTGGCGAGTTTGTCAACGTCGCGTGCGTCGCGTATTACGGTAGAATAAAAGCAGCAATGGTACTTTTATTCTACCGTAATACGTGACGCACTACCATACATTACCATTGCTGCTTTTGCGTTATTTTTATAAACATAGCTTTAAAGCTATATAGGTTTTATTGTCAAATTATAACATGTTGGTGTGACCCATTAGGGAAGTGACAACTGTCGAAGTTAGTACTGAGTTACGCACGCAAATACAGACTATTCACTCACGTATTGATACCTCGGCTGCACGGGCCAGCGCGACGGCAATAGTTTCTTCAAATACCTATTTCCCAATTCCCGCGCAGACGCACTTTTAAGAGGCGACCATGAAAATACCATAATGATCTCAAAATGTGTGTAGGTTCGCCATACGTAAGGTACCCTAGTGATGGCGAGTCAATTAATACATGAAATTGATAAATATCTATAACCGACGCAATTATTTGTAGACGTACTTCAAACTGTTAAGAAAAATACTAGTAATAACCTCTAGATATCTAATAAATGTTCAAATCGTTATCAATTTTAGGTGTAGCTGATAGCCAGGGCGACACGAGGGACGGAAAGAAAATAGCGATTGCGGTGTACTTGGGCCAGCCAGAAACATTCCAGAGATACTTCGAAGAGGTCCAAGACACGCTCACGGAATCCGAGTGTAGATTTTACGCGAAACAATCGGCCGCCGCATTCAACAACTTCGAAAAGCAATCGAGCTACGACTCGCCGCGAATCTCACAGAACCACAGCCCCGAGACAGAGACGCAAGACTACCCGCAGTCAATAAACAAATCGAACACGAATAGCCTTAAGAGTAACAAATCAACGCACAGTAATTCGTTTAAAAATGTATATAATAGCGACTCGACAATAAACTGCAACGAATTCACTATTGCGTACACTTATATATCCGGGAAGACGACGTGGCAAAACTTAGACTATATAGTTAGAAAGACGTTTAAGGACTACCTATCGAGGATAGACCCGGGCACGAATCTTGGTTTGAATACAGACTCCATAACGTCTTACCATTTGGGCGAGGCTACCAGAGGACCAGAGATTGGTTTTCCGGAGTTACTGCCTTGTGGTTATATCGTTGGCACTGTAAATACGTTATACATTTGCTTGCAAGGAGTTGGAAGCTTGGCTTTCGATAGTCTTATACCAAAAAATATTGTATATAGGTATGTATAATGTCATATTTTAAGATGATTTCATAATTAAATCATAATTTCACAATTTTTTTATGTTACGTAATTTTGTAGGTACGTTTCGTTGTTATCTGAACATCGGCGAGTAATACTTTGCGGGCCAAGTGGCACCGGAAAGTCGTATTTAGCAGCTAAACTAGCGGAATTCTATGTTCAACGTACGCAACGAAGGGGGAATCCCGCTGAAGCCGTCGCTACGTTTAAGTAAGTAAATTTTTATAATAGTGTGTTATTTATCGTGATAATTAAGTTCTTATCCGATTTCGATCTTGAAATTGTTAATTGCGATGGTCATATTGGACTTTAAAGTAAGGAAAGCGTATTAAAGTCTAATATGTCCATATTAGACTTTAATACGCTTTCCTTACTTTTAGAAATTGTTTGGATAAAATTTAATCCAAGTACAAGACAGTTAAATTACATTTGAAGTATTACTTTATATTTAGCTGATCGCTACTTAATTAATGAATTGATATAAAATTTCACTTTCCCTAAAAGCTTACTTTAAAAATTAAAGTAAAGTTACATCCTATATCCGTCCCACTGCTGGGTACAGGCTTCCCCTCACATCATAGTGAGTGGAAGCTTGCTTTACGTGTTTGTTAGTCATGGTTTGATCTATAAAAGAATTAACATTAAATTATCTTTTTTACAATTTTTCCCGTCTGAAAAAAAGGGCGTAACAGGTGAACGGAATAGAAGCATATGGCACCGATATTTAAAAAAAATATTTTACATAAACATATTATCAAATTTATTTGTCAATAAATAATACTAATTGTGTGCGTATAATTTCGATAGTTTTTAATTGATTTATTTATATAGTTCAAAATTTTTGTTTTTATTTTTTTGGTACCGAAAGTTTATTTAAAAATTAGTATTATTTATTGATCATCAATTTCAGGACAATTTAATAATATGTTAATGTAAATATGGTACATCCATTTCTCGCCAAAAAGTGTATATACTTACATTCTTCTATACAAATGTATAAACTGTACAGTGTGGACCGCAAGTCTTGCAACGAGCTGCGCGCGTACCTCGCGAACATCGCAGAGCAGTGCAGTGCGGCGGCCGCGGGCGAGGAGGCGGCACTTCCCTCCGTCGTTGTACTCGACAACTTGCAGCACGCCTCGGCGCTGGGGGACGCATTCGCCGGCTTACTGCCGCCCGACAACCGGAACATGCCCGTTATTATTGGTATGAAACTATTTATTTGAAACTACTTCTTATTATATGTTTGGCTCTTGAGATTTAGAACTCGTCCGTAAATTAACCTTATTGGTAAGGTATAAAGAAATGCGTCATTTAAGTACACACTTCGCCATATATTTCATTTATGTAATTGCATTTTTTTTCTTTACTATAGTGAATAAGAACAACAGGTGCATATTATCTAGTCAACCTATATTCAGAGGTGAATTCTAAGGATAATTGAGAGTTGAGAGGATTTTTTATAGGAGAGATATAGTGCAGATGCGTTGCCGGCCTTTTAAAAAGGACTCTAGACTCTTTTCTTAAAGATCCCTAAGTCGTATCGGTCTGGAAAAATTTCTGGTACTAATCGATTCTACAAGGAAGTAGTGCGATGATGAAAACTTCTTTTAAATCGCACAGCTGTGGACCGTCAGTCATCCAGATTATGGATGGTATTGCGAGTTTTATCGCGATGTGTGATGGTGGAATTGTGCGACTGGAATTAGTCCGAACGATTCCTCAGAGCACTCCCCGTGGTAAATGCGATAAAATACACAAGGAGATGCAACATCTCATCGCTATGCCAGTAAGTCAAGTCGATCGGAAAGAGTTCGTTCGCCGACGATTCGAACAGCTCTGCGTTGGATGCGATCAAATGCAAGGAGCTGGTACTGGGGAGCCCCAGCCCAGAGATGGGAACAGTATTTCATTTGCATCCGAACCAGCGTCTTGTAAAGTTGCGGGCGGTGTGCCAGCATGAAATACTATCCTGCTCTGCTGAGCACGCCAAGCTTTTTAGAGACTAATTTGGCCTTCTCTTCAAAATAACCTCGAAACTGCACGTCACTCGATATGTCAACGCCGAGGATTCCGATACTGGCTAAGGCAACAAGAGTAGTGCCTTGAAACTGAAGAAATACGACGAAGGGGTTCTTATTAGTGGTAAACGCGCTAACTTTTATCTTTTGAGGATTGAACTGGACTGGACTAGGTCTAGTCGCTCCCAGTCCGAGAATTTGTTCAACAAAGTCTCGACTTCAGACACAAGTTCGTTAATGAGCTTGTAATCAGAGCATGCACCGTCTACTACGACCTTGATGCTTCGATCTGCAAGAAAACTGGTGATCCAATTGCACATTTCTCGGGAATCCCATAGGAAGGAAGCTTCGCAAGAAGCGCTTTGTGCCAAATCCAATCGAAAGCCTTCGCTATGTCCAAACAAGGCCAACCCCACCCTGCCGTGCACCCATCTATGAGTTAAATAAGCCACCAACTGGATAAGAATAAGAATAACATCACCAGCTGAGCGACCCCGACGTAAACCGTACTGGCGGTCACTAATCAGCTGGTGATTCTCAAGGCACCTAATGAGCTGGCAGTTAATAATTGTTTTTATTATTGTAGAGAACAAGGAGGTGATAGCGATAGGCCTGTAGTTTGACGGATCTAGGCGGTCACCTTAGGGATCGGGTGCACTGAACTGTCTTCCATGAGTTCGGGACTATGCCTAGGGAGTAAGGAGTACCAGAAAAGACGCGTTAAAACCGGTGCCAAGTCTGGAGCACACGTATTCAGCACAATATAATAGGGATGCCATCAGGCCCACTCGACTTGTTGACGTTCAGGGAGTGGAGTGCTTCCCGGCGTGCGGCGCACCGTGCGCCGGGTAAAAAACACATCCTGCATAGAGTACCCATTCCACGGGATGTTCGGCGGTGTGTTCCCCCCGTAATCAAGAGTCGAGTTGGACGCAAAGAGGGAGCCCAGCAAATCGGTTTTGTCCTTTGAGGCATGGGCCAGTGTGTCGTCCTCCCTGTGCAGAGATAGGAGAGATGTTTAATAGAAGTTCCCTTAGACAGCCATGGCGAGCGACCAAAATGCACATGTTCCCAAAGGAAGACGAACTAGTTTCTCGCCATTTCTGGCGATGTGCTCCGACTTTGTCTACGCAATTACACTTGAAGGAACTGGAGGCGGAATTATACTTCATTTTAAGAGTGCTGGTATTTGCATCCCGAGACGTCGATGCGTCAGCGCAGGCGCGGTAGCTCCTACGTATGGCGTGATGCAACTTTGCAGGAGCGACCAAACCATGGCTGGGTTCTGCCTCCGATGATGGAATAAAAAGTTCAGATGGTGGGATAAAAGGATTGAACATTGTCGGGATGGAATTTGGCGTCGCGTGCGGATTCGCCGAATTACGCTGCATATGGCTTTACTATTATTGTGATTATCTAATATGTTGTAAATTACCAAACCACTGAGAGTTTCTATCATTTACAGGAACAATGTCACAAGCAACTTGCAACACCACAAACCTTCAGCTGCACCATAACTTCCGATGGCTTCTTACCGCAAATCACATGGAACCAGTGAAAGGATTCTTAGCTCGGTATGACAGTTTCTTTATACTGTTCAGGGGCCTAGTTATTTTTATAAAGTATTAGTTATATAATTTAAAAGATATTTCTGGTAGTTCTTAAAAATGAAGTAGTGGCGTAAAATAATTTAAAAGCTGCATTAACTTGATGCCGCAAACGACGCCTTCGATCAGAGAGATTTATACTAACTTATTGTTGTGTTTACTTATTGTTGTGTTCTTCTATTATTGAAAGAGCCCTACAACGAGGCCAAATTCAAATTCTAAATATTTATTGTAAGTTAAGTGTTACACATTTGTTGTTAATTATACGTGGTAGAGCCACGCTGTAGCTATATTATGGTTGTAACACGAATGGGTCAGCTCATCCGGGGAAGGACCACGCTTTCAAAGAATACTAGCGTAAAATAGCAGCTAAATACTGCAGTGTTTCGTATGGTGAGTGTAGAGAACCGGAGACCCGTTTTACTGGAATCGAGGCATTCCATCTTAGTCCTCAGAGGTGACAACGCACCTGCATTTTGATCTTAATCGACGTTAAATGTAGATGTCCATGTGCCACAGAATATACTTACCATCAGGTGCACTGTGTGCTCGTCTGTCACCCTTATTCTATAAAAATATAATATTACAACTTAACCACCCTTTTCGGGTATTACAATATTTGTTATATTTTTAGGGCTGTGCCTAACATAAGTTACATAATTAATTAAAGTTATCAAATAAAGTTGTTACTTATATAAGATTTAACATTTTGTTAAATTTATAAAAAATACATTATTTTAAATTATAAATATATAATAATAAATATAAGTACATAATTGGATTTACTATAGAGTATTTTACAACTTATATATATATATATATATATATATATATATATATATATATATATATATTTATTTTTTTATTTGAATTTTATTTACATAATTACATGGGCGTGATATCGAAGTTTCGTGGTTCGCGTCCTGTCTCTGGACCGGCTTTTTTTCCTTTTTTTTTTTCAAGTTCCCTTCTTTTGTGAGAAAATCTATTATTTCAAGCCCTTATTTTTAGTATTTTTTTAAAAATACGAAAATTTTAATAAAACTAATTGCACTCATGATTTTTGATTCAAATAACCAGTTCAGGTTTTTCTATTCTGTCAATAAGATTAAAAAAATATTATTTATGTTTCATCAGTATGTAATTTATAAATGTAATTTCAAAAAAAACGAGCAAAGCTCGGTCATCCGGGTACTATTAAATATAACAAATATTTACGCGAACACTACACATAGTATAAAACTATTTTGACGGGTTTTGTCATGAAACGTCGGGAATTAAAAATAAATAAATTTAACGCGATGAAATCCGTAAAAATAGTTTTATTCGATTTGTAGATACTCTTCCAAATTATAAAAACAACAAAGCTGGTTTTTTTATTTCTTATTAAATGGAAGCAATTTGTTTTCATTTCAACAAAGTTTTTTTTATTGACAATCTTTATGCAGATACCTGCGACGGAAACTGTTCTCGCTGGAACTCCGGTTAGGTCGTCGTGAGCCAGCCTTAGCAGCGGTGTTGGAATGGCTTCCAGGCGTGTGGGCGACGCTCAACGCCTTCCTTGAAGCGCATTCCTCCAGTGACGTCACCGTCGGCCCGAGGCTGTTTCTCGCATGCCCTATGGACTTAGAAGCTAGTCAGGTAAGGTTATTTTTTATTCGCTGGTTGGCCTATAGCTCAGTATGGCTAAATTTTATGGAGCTTTTAACGTGGTAGAGCCATGCTGCAGTTATATTAGTAGTATAGTTGTAGCACGAATGGGTCGACTCGATCGGGGAAGGACCACGCTCTCACAGAACACCACCGTGAAATAGTAGCTTATTGCTGCTGTGTTTCGTAAGGTGAGTGTAGAGTACCGGATACCTTTTTTACTGGAAACGCAGCACTCCATCTTAGTCCTTACGGGTGACAACGCCATCTGCATTTTGATTCGTAATCGAGGATAGATGTAGATGTCTATCGGCCGCAGCAACCACTTACCATCACGTGGACTGTGTGCTCGTTTATCACCTTATCCTATAAAAAATCTAGGAATGTTTTTTTTTTCGATTTGATGTATAATTAGCACCTTGCTAATGCATTGTCTATAGTCGCCTCTTGTTATACCTACAAGACGAAATGATTTGATCCATATGCTTATTATATCACCGTACGGACCAAAATAAATCTTACATAAATTAAATGGATCACCTTAAAAATATCGATATCTTAAGATCGTGCACACAAACGCTGCAGTTGCCTATGTGTATAGGCCGGACAGCAAACCAGTGTCATCACTGAGACCGATCGCAGTTTCATGCTGCAGCAGAGATTTCTTTTAAGGGTCGTTGATTAATTCATCATTTATGTTATTTGCGTAACATAGGCCTTACGCATAGATTTACCATCCAATAGATTAAAAAAATTGGTGCGTGTCATAAGAAATTGTTCAACCATTTTGAATAAAATATGTTATCACAATTTGTAGCGCTGTTTGTTATTTTATTCTTCACAAGATAAGGAATGATATTTTTTTCGAAAAGGGTTAATGGTTCATGTTGAAGAAAAGAAATCATGCAACTTCTTGAAACTAACACATACATAAGATATTAACTTAGTATTGACCGTGACGTAGTGTTCGAGTTAAAAATAACTAATATTTTAACCATTAAAATTTTAGTTTAATTTTTTTAACTAATATCTTTTAACTATTAAATAAAATCAACTATTGTCGTCATCTCTACATACGTTTAGTATCGTAGTAGTAGTATCAGTATAAGATGTGCGAATGTGTTCTATTACTGTGTGTATTTTATTGTAATGGTGGTTAATATAGCGCATAGCGTCATATTATAGAGCGATATCTCTCCATAGCGCATAGCGCGTGCTATGTAAGTAGTCGCCGGGGCGCTATGGCGCTATGACGCTTTGGCTCTATTAAGTATTAATATCAAGTTATCAAGCGGCCACTAGTTTTAGCAGCAGCGCTGTTAGGAGTAAAAATAACGTTAACGTCTATTATAGAATTTCGTAAGCCTAAAAAGTATGAAAGAGTGTTCATTGGTTTTTCTTTCCCACATTATTTTATTTTAGTCTGAAATGCGACTTATTCTGAAATAATGCTCTTATGTAGCACGCGGTCTATCCAACGAACACATGTAATGTAACGTGCTACGAGGTATAGCGTGCTGTAAAACTTAACGCGCTTGCCGGCCTCCTACACGCTTTCTTATAAATAGCGCGCTATAACATAGCGTATTTAATAAATCATACCTTATAGTCTATGTTTCTAGTTTTATACATTTATACCTTATAGCCTGCAGCGTGCTATTAATGGATGAGTAGTTTTGAACAACTTTATGTATTGTTTTGTAATTGTGTCAGGCTTGGTTCGCGGACGTGTGGAACTACAGCATTGTGCCGTACGCATCGGAGGCGGTGCGCGAAGGCGTGGCGCTGTACGGGCGCAGGCGGCACGCCGCCGTCGACCCCTTGCACCACGTCAAGTCCAGCTACCCCTGGAGAGAACCCAATCATTCCCACGTAAGTTTTTAACCTCTTAATCCCCTAGCGGTCTCACGAGACCGCACCCACCCACAGCACTTTAAGTTAACCTATAAAAACTTATATATAGACACTACTTTTCTGTGAAGAAGTTTGACATTATAGAATCAATATGAAATTTTCTATCCTCTAGTGCAATAAAAAAACAGTTATCCTATGGATATTTATTTATAATCTACGTTCATTTTCGCGTGAATGTTATTGTGTTGATTTTTAGATTTTTCTAGTGTTTTATTAATATTTTAGTTAGTATTATATAAAATTGATGAAAGACCAAAAAATTATAATTTAAAAGCCAAACTCTTCATGGAAAAGTAGTCTCTAAATATAATTTTAATGTAATGCTGTCCATATAAATTACATATTTTATATGTTATTGACCAACTGATTCATATGGCAATATTTTTTTAAATAGAATATTGGTGATAAACGAGCACACAATCTAGTAAGTGGAGGCTGAGGCTCATAGACATTCTACATCTATCCGCGATTAAGAATCAAAATGGAGATGCGTTGTCACATGTTGTGGTGGCTAGGATGTAATGTCTCGTTTCCAAAAAAAAGGGTCTCTACACTCACCATACGTAACACAGTGGCTTTAACCTGCTTTTTCACGCTGGTATTCCCTGAGATCGTAGACATTTCCCAGTCGAGCAGACCCATTCGTCCTACCACCATAATATAGTTGCAGCGTTGCGCTTCTCCGTGTTAAGAGGATACCTTGAAAATGAATCAGTTTTGGGGGCGTGGCTTATTCCTTTGTCGATGAAGCTAACGGACGACTGAGGGAGTGTCAAAATGAAAGTGATGCAATGACTTCATAATACGCAAATTATGAGATAGCTATACCGAACACAAGCTCGGAAAAAAACTAAGTAAGCGCCAAACAACATTTTTATTTATTTTAACATAACGTCGTTATGGATTAAAAAACTGGTTTATGAGAAATTAGATATGATTATTTACTATGTCTTAAAAATAATTCCATGAACTTATTCATAAGAATATTGTGGTGTCATGGAAAAAATGTAAATAATTAGAGCCTACTTTGCAATTTTTTTCTATCGAGTAAATTACATGATATCGTGTTTTCCTTTTATGTAATCCAAGGTCATATAGTCAAAAATCATATACCAAAATTTTGGTTTGTAATCTATAAAACTTAAAATATATGTTAAATAGAAAAACCACCAAATTTTCGAGATATAACCTTAATTAGAATGCAATAGATATAAACTATGCAAATAATAAATTGACCGAGCTATAGAAATGAAGCCCGTTACTTATTGCGCAGAGTAATAAACAGATAGGTTAGGTTATGACCACACAATGTAATAAATAATGAAGTATAAATCGGTTTTAATTACGGAACCCAATTTGACTTGTTATTATTCATATTGCCCGGGCTTTATAAACAGTGTCCTGATTAAACACTTGGTCCGTAACATATTATACATTGTATAATCACCCTGCAGTTTATTATGATTAGCTACGGACAAAGAAGCACACAGTCCACCTGATGGTAAGTGGATGCTGTGGCCCATAGACATCCACATTTATCCTCAATTAGGGATCAAAATGCAAATGCGTTGTCACCCCTGAGGACTAAGATGGAATGCCTCGATTCCAGTAAAACGGGTCTCCGGTTGTCTACACTCACCATACGAAACACAGCAGCATTTCGCTGCTATTTTACGCTGGTATTCTGTGAGAGCCGTGGTCCTCATCGGTCGAGCCGACCCATTCGCGTTACAACTATAATATAGCTGCAGCGTGGCTCTACCATGTAAATAATCATAAATAATACTTAGCATCAGGTGAACTTAGTGCTCATAAAACATTTTTCTGGGTGGTATAGTATAGTTTTGCTTGTGCCAGGGCCCCAAGAACAGTTTGTTTTATCCTTGGAATTCGTAAGAGGCTACTTTGGATATAGGTATACATACATTTAGTTCACGTTGATTTGCGAAAAGAATGTGATTTGTTTTAATTTATTAAAGTAATGGCTGAATCAGATCCTAAATTAATGGGTGCGTTTGGCAGAAAAAAGCGCTAGCAAGCGCTTATAAGCGCTAAAATAGTTTTCGGCCAGGACACGATTGCTACTTCAGTAGCGCTGACACAATCCGCCATTTTGCTTATTTAATTTGTTTGTTTTGAAGTAGAGTTTATAAGTTGTTTTGTGCAATATTAGTTTTAAGTAATATAATGACATGAATAAACATATACATGCTATTAAAAACTCATGATTGGTAAGTTTTTAATATGAATACTTTACAAACATATATTCAAATTAGGTTAGATTCCCCGGTTAAAACTAACATCGTGTCCTGGAGGAAAATAGCTACTTACGATTTGACAGCGCTTACCGCTTACGATCGCCATTTTGCTTACAAGCGCTTGCTAGCGCTTTTTTCTGCCAAACGCACCCAATGTTTCAGTATATAGAATTTCAAAAAAACTGACATTTTTACCAGAAATAAAATTGGGGTTAAATAAATTACCGACACCAATGGATCATGAGTACTTCGCACACAAATCTCCGAATAAAAGAACGCCAAAAAATATTTAAATTTTATTTTTATATTACAGACGCTAAGAGCGATCACAGTAGAAGAAATGAGCATCGAAGAAGCGAATCAAGAAGCGAATAGAAACAACAATCAAGATCCATTGGTAATTTAAAAATATTTTCCACTTTTATAGTTTCAGATGGAGCGACAACTTGTAGTCACAATTAAAACTTGTTAGTTGCGTAAAAATATAGTAGAATCAGCACCCATTAAAAAGTAATTTAGTAAAAGTAAAAAAAGTTACAGCCTATATACCGTCGCACTGCTGGGCACAGGCCTCCCCTCATTTCTGAGAGGGTTTTAGGGCAAGAAAGTGTCCGCCGCGCTGCCCCAATGCGTGTTGGCGAACTTCACATGTCTTCGAAATATTTTTTTCTTATTCCTCAGACATGCAGGTTTTCTCACGATGTTTTCCTTCACCGCCGAGCACGTGGTAAATCAGCACTTAAAATTGCATTTAACAATTTCATTGGTGCCGGCGGGGATCGAACCCGGGTTACTCGCGTTCTGTTATATTTACAGCGAGCATTAACCATCTGAGCTACCACGGCTCTTAAAAGTAAATTATTAATAAATTTGCAATACAGGGTGCAGGATTAGTAGCAATACATTCAGATCACAAATAAAATGTCTTTAATAAATTTTATTATTTCAGTTGAACATGTTGATGCGACTGCAAGAGGCGGCCAACTACAGCGGAAACCAAAGCCAAGATTCGGATAACGCTAGCATGGATTCGAATCTCACACACGACAGCTCTATGGGCAACGAGCTTTAAAACCTTTATGTTTTTATTTAAACTGTAAAAAATTCTATTTTATTTCTTTTTTCTTAAATATGACTCCTACTATTCAGTGACAAAATGTGAACAAATGATAACGATTGGTGTTACCACCTAAAAATTATTTCATTCAGGTAAATGGTTGGGGATTAAAAAAGAGCTAATATTACGCATTTATTGTCACTTTTGAATATAAAACTATATAAAGCCAAATATTTGCCATATGTGTTATTTATATTTATTTTCTATTAGATTTATTTTAAGTTAAATATTAATAATTGATTTATATACTCTATCAGTATCGTTTACTTTTGACAATTTCAAATTTCGAAAGGATTTTTCTCTGCATATTTGCGGTTTCTGGCAAATATTTAAAGCATGAGTTAGACCTTTCTGTATCTATTTCTTTGAAAATTATTGTGATTTTTAGGACGATTTAAAATCTTCAATTAATACGGCCGTTAATATATACATACACTACTACAGTGCCTCGAGCGATATTTTCCATTTTTATGAATATTCATACGATATATGGCTGTTAATATTTGTATGAAGCATCGTGGCTTTTACTATTGTTATATTTTTTCAGAGTTAGGATAACGAACAGTGTTTGTATTACTATAACAATGTATGTAAAATAATATTATGAAAGTGTAATTTTTATACCATTTTCATATTAAAACTCATGTACCTAATAAAAATATTGAGGTGTAAATAGAAATGTTTAATATAATTTTTTTCTATGTGATTACACTAACCGCTAATATGCCATAAACAGCAACATAGCGTTACATTTGTATAGATTTACAGTAACAATTACAGTGTTTGGTATGGATTGACTTGTGTGCAGAACAGAAACGTGATATCTACAATCTATGCTTTACAAAATGTGAAAATAAACATTGATTACAAATAAACTGACTATTATTAAAAACACCTTTGCATTGGGAAAAGTGTGCTCAGTGGCAATAGAAAATAATTAAAATAAAATTATGATCAGTTATTAATTACTCACGACAGGGTATTTATTATACAGGTATTATAGTCCCGTAAATGGCTGCTCGATTGCGTCTTTCCATTCTGTACAAGGCCAGAACGCGAGGGTATGAAATTAATCACGTATAGATTGGAAATAACTTTTTCAACTAAGTTCTAATCCATACAAGAGCAGTACGCAAATACTCGCGTATACTTCGTAGTAACGTAGAAGTATAATATCATGTTCCATTGCGCCATTACGCATACATACTAATCGTGTATGTATCGGAATAAGCGCGCTAAACTCTGGCGTGGTTATTCCCTCCCCCAACTCTCTCCCGTAGCGCAGTCGAGGGAAGCCCGGTCGACGGCTCCTACTTCTGAGTGGTTTGTAAAAAATAACCACAAAGGAGATGGCGGGGTATATTTTCTAGAGCCAAAAAACGAGGGGATCGCGAAAGTATAAAATTACCAAATATAATAATGATTATAAATCATTGTTATGTATTTAATCCTACCCAATAAAGTTTAAATATAATTTCGTATTTTACTAATTATACGTGTATTTCACTAAATATACTATTAATAGTGGAATTAACACGTTTCCTGTCCCATACAAAAATGCAAAATTCACCGACACGTCCAATAGGTTTTTTTGAATAATTTGTTTTTATAGTCATAGGGTAGCCCTAGTAATAATGTCATTTAAAAAAATAACTAAAGTAGGCTTTATTTCCCTGAAACACATATGGTTCATAAGCGTAGAGAGACATTCATGAACCACATGTGGTTCAGGGAATATTTTTTTATGTTTATGAGTTTTTCATAAGTATTTATTTTATTAATTACTTTACTATTATTATTTATATATTTTCACGATATTTACGAACTTGTGCACATTTGATTATCTGTGGAATATTTTCCATAGATAATAGATTATAGATATATTGTCAATTATGTTATGTCATTGTCGTATTTATGAATTCTGTTCATGAAATTGTTTCAAGGTTATATTGTACGCGTTTTTTTGTTCAAAATGCCGCGAAGATTATCAACTGAGGACTTGCGACGAATACTGGAAGAAAGTGACTATGAATTGAGTAACGATGACACGGATTCGAACGGCGGCGATAGCGATGTACAAGACGCGCCAGATCCTGATATTTCAGATCAAGAACCGAGTATTTTTGCAGATGACGATATCGATGATCCGGATTTTGAACCAGGTGAGATTTCCCGCTCAAACATTGTAACCGATGACATTGGTAGTGATTCACCAGCTGATAATTTATCCGATATCGTCATAAATTCACCTCGGCCAGAAACGAGCAGAAGGTGGACTGCTGGTGAGATCATGCGGCTTACTCTGCAAGAAATAAATGATATAGATAGAGAAAATGGCTGGAGTCAGGACATCTTACCACTGTCACGTCAACCTTATAATAACAGCCCAACTATTCATATCCAAGGTGAACAATCTGTTGTTTCCATTTATTGACGTATATTGACCGACGAAGTGTTAGATCTTATGGTCACTCAAACAAATCTGTACGCTTCTCAACTGAAACAGAATGTCAACATATCAGTTCATAGTCGCATGAATCGGTGGACAGACATTACACGCGAATAAATGTTGAAATTTATTGCTTTGTACATGTTGATGGGTATTGTGAAATTTCCGACGATTGAATCGTGTTGGAAATTAGACTCTATTTACTACCATCCAATATTTCACAATGTAAACATGTCGTATAATCGCTTCTCATCAATATTACGTTGCTGGCACTTTGTTGATAATGAAGCTCCGAGGGATCAAAACGAACGTCTGTACAAAATAAAACCACTTTTGAACCTTGTTATCAACAACTGGAAGAACTTATTGACACCTAATGAATTTATCGTCATTGACGAGTCGATGATGCCATTTAGAGGGAGGATATCTTTCCGTCAGTACAACTCATCAAAAACTCACAACTACGGCTTGAAAATCTATAAACTTTGCACAGAAGATGGTTTTGTCTGGAACTATGACATTTACATAGGTCGCGACCCCGAGATCGCTGATTTGGATAAGCCGGGAAGCGTCGTAGTTCAGTTATGTGATGGTCTTCTAGAAGCTGGACGGATAATTGTGTGCGACAATTGTTACAATACCGTTGAATTAGCAAAATATTTGCTGCAGTATGCTGTCTGTCTTATGAGACAGACTTATGCGGCACTTTGCGAGTAAATAGAAAAGAATTTCCATGGGCAATAAGATCGAAAAAAATAGGACCTAAAAAAGGTGAAGTAGTTGCTCGACAGAAGGACAATGTAACGGTGATGAAATTGAGAGACAAACGCGACGTTGCAATGATTTCTACATGCCATGACGCTACTATGCGAATGTCTTCGGGATATCGGCCAATTTTGAAGCCGGAAGCCGTGCTCTATTACAATGAGCGAAAAAAAGGCATAGATGTATGTGACCAGCTTTCAAGTTATTATGACCCAAAAAGAAAGTCTCTGGCATGGTACAAAAAGATCGCTTTAGATATTTTGATATGTGCTTCAATAACAAAATGTTCAAAACTACTTCAACTACAATAGAAAATACGACTACTACAGACGCACAAGAAATTATAGGGAGTTCTTATTGAACAATGCATCAAATGCAATTATTACTATAGTAAATCTACTAGCAAAGAAAACAAATGATAAAAGAAGAAAAAATTGCTCAAAAAGTAAAATATACTGAGTGTTTAAATGCAAAAAATCTTTTTTAAACAAATCAAAAAAAAATTTTACCGGTTTTTCTTTATTATATATATCTGTGCAAAAACAGTACAGTCCCTTCACGTCCGGTAGAAATATTCACTGTAGAAATTGTATATGTGCCCTGACGCACATATGGGTCAGGAACGTATTAGTGCTTTTCAAGCGCACGTTTCCTGAACCATATGTGGCTCAGCGGACAGGGAACGTGTTAAACTAGACTTTTAATACTGTTGTCAAGTGTAAGTAAGTGGTGTAGTATAGTCGGGAACGAAAACGCGAGCATCTACGATACAAACTATACACAATCAGTACGCAATAATTCGTGTATGTATTGTAGTAACAGATTTAAAAACTGAATTGCAATATATACGCGAGCAGTTTCCTATGGATGCGTTCCGACATTGTATACAATGGAAAGACGCTGCTCGATTCCATAGCAATGCGCTCTAGTTCTGGTTTTACATAAACGTTACGTCCACATTAGGATTTTCTCCTGCATTGTGGCAGTTTACAATCATAATTTCATAAGGACAAATATCCAGACCCGGAACAATTATTTATGGGCCATGCAAATACTTATTCCGTGCGGGATTCCAACACGCGGCCTTTAGCGATGCAACTCATAGCTAAGGCACTGGGCCACGGAGCTTGTTTATTTTATAATTTTCGTACAATCTTATGCTGGTGCCACACTAACGAGAAATGCCGTTAATTATCGCGTCGATGGACGTTGTATGTAGGTGTGGCCACGACTTATATAATATATATTTGTATTTGGCATAAAACGCTTATTATCCTAAGGGTACGTTTACACCAAAACCCATTTTGTCGGCCGATGGCGGACAGAAACTCGGACGTGTATGTGCTTACACTGCAACAGTGTACCACTTGTGCCGACATTGAACGTTGCCGGTATTCTTTTCTATTTTTCTATTTTCAATATCCATAGTCGTTTAGGTAGATAACAACAATGGCAGAAACAACAGAATAAAGACAAAATTATTAAATTAAACTATAAATACACTCAATTTGCACTGTAGATGCCGGCAGTCGGGCGAGAAATCCCAACAAGTTCGGATACGACGGGTGATCGGCCGTTTTCGTACGTTATCGGACGATGACGGTCGTGTATGTGTACGCGCTCTCTTTGTTTTATGTTTGATTCGATCGTCCGGTAGTTTCTCGAACGTTTAGGTCCTCACCATACTATAACCTTGGGTTACTTGTGTACGTTACCAAATATCAAGCAAATGTAGCAAGCATTTTAACAGTGGTAGAGCCACGCGGCAGCCTTTGCTGTTTGCACGTACGGGCCGGTTCAAACCGGGGTGGTACCACGACCTCACAGAAGACCAGCGTGAAGAAGAATAGAAGAAGAAGAAGCTCAGCTTCTGCATTTCGTCTGGGGAGTGCAGGTAGCCGTCCCGATTTCCCTCCCCCACCTTTAAAATGGTAACGGAGTTAAATAAAACATTTCCCAGGAAGGTACCAGAATTCCTGGTGAAGGAGAATCCATCGCTGAGTATCCAAGCCTAAGCTACCCTACTCTTCCTGAGCGTGGATGCACAGGCTGCTCTGCGTATTCTGGAGGGGGGGGAATTCCCTGCTCGGGGCAAACGAAGCAATAGGTCAAGGGCGCCCCCTTCCACGCTACCCGTGAATTTCTGCAACATCCAGGGACTTCATTCAAACCTTAACGTCGTCCACTAACATCTGCAAATGGCAAAACCGGCCTTGCTCTTTTTAACCGAGATACTGGTGTCTTCTCCGTTTGATACTTCGTATCTCTCCTACCCGGTGACGTGTACGTCAGAGAGAACATCTTTTTTCGACGCTTCAGCAGCCTTGAAGGTACGGATCTGTCCATCTTATGGCTGCGCGTAGACAGTGACGACCATCCCCGCGTCTACACGTAACTTTATAGGTCTCATAGCGGTAATGCCGACACAGACCGACTCATAGACAACGTCCAAATGGCCGCAGACACCGTGCTAAAACAGGTCCCAACCGCAGAGATCGTGATACTTGGTGATTTTAACGCCCACTACGCTGAATGGCTTGGTTCTCGCTTAACCGATCATGCGGGTAGATCTGTTTATGATTTTGCTTTGGCATATGCTCTGATACAACAGGTTACCTCGCCTGCGCGAATCCCAGATGTGGAAGATCATGTACCTTCCCTGTTGGACCTTCTGTTAATCTCTTATCCACACGGATATCAGGTCTCCTCGGACCATTGTCTGATCCGGAGTACGGTGCCACTTACGCTCCCATCGCGGTAGCGTTCTGCAGGTTGCTGCCTTGTTTGGCACTATAGGTCAGCCGATTGGGACGGGATGCGATCTTTTTTTTGCAACCTACCCGTGGAGGCCCTCCCCTTGTTGCCTCAGCCAGTATCGGAATCCTCGGCGTCGACATATCGAGTAACGTGCAGTTTCGTGCTTACTTGGAAGATAAGGCCAAATTGGTCTCTTAAAAAGCTTGGCGGCAGTATTTCATGCCAACACACCGCCTGCAACTTTACAAGGCGCAGGTTCGGCCGTACATGGAACACTGTTCCTATATCTGGGCTTGGGCTTCCCAGTGCCAGCTCCTTCTATTTGATCGCATCCAGCGCAGAGCTGTTCGAGTCGTCGGCGACCGAGGTCTTTCAGATCGGCTTCACTTACTGGCACTGCAGAGATGTTGCATCTCTTTGCGTATTTTATCGCATTTGCCACGGGGAGTGCTCTGAGGAATTGTGCGGACTAATTCCAGCCGCTCTATTTCATCATCGCACATCGCGATAAAACCATTCATACCATCTGTGCGATTTTTGAGTTTTCTTCCTCGTACAACTTCATTGTGGAATCGACTCCCACCAGAGATTTTTCCGGACCTATACGACTTAGGGACCTTCAAGAAAAGAGCCTACTACTTTTTAAAAGTAATCACTTGTTTGCCCCCTATCCTAAAAAAAGCTGTTTTTGTTAAATCTAAACGTTAACGTAAAAGTAAACAAACCAATTACTTTCCTACTGAGAAGCCTCAAGACAAGATGTGACAGACCAACTGGACATTTCCAAAATTATTATGACCTAACCACAATACCAAGGGCCATATTGAAGAAAAAAAATATTATGAATTCCACACAGGATTAATTTTTTATACTAAACTAAAAAGATAATATAATTTGTTAACTATTATCATATCAATTTTCAAAGACATTAAGAACTACTATAAAAAAATAAAGATCAATAATAATAAATAAAACTCACATTATTTGAAAATCATTAATTGTTTATTGCTTTATCAGTTTTAATAAATCTTACATCAGATAAATGTGACAATGTAAAAATTTGGACGGCACCAGTAATGTTATAAAGGACTAGAATCATTATTGACTGAATTATAAAAAGGAACCTCTGATTCTGTCTTGTATTGGATAAATAAGGCACAACCACACTACATCAATTTTGGACCTACTCTATTTAAAATAAGTTTATAAAAATCACACCACCCACATAAACCAGTAATCTCAGACAGTCAAAAATTTATAAAAAATTGAAACTAAATAATGAGATATAGAGTATAATCATATAGTATATAATATAATATATAACTATTAATTAACATTAGTTTTCCAAGCATCACATTTACAGGAACTAAGCCATACAAGACTTAAACACTCAATTACAGCTAAGCTAAGGTAGAATAATAATTAAGGCAGTATATTATGATGTATATGATGGGTATGTTCCGAAATACAACGCAGTGTACTGTCCAATGCAAATGACGTCATGAATCGATGCTATACTGGTGATTCTTTCCAAAACATTGGACAGTATATGACATCATACTTTTGTGCCATTTGGAAAAATGTTGGCGATTATTTTGTCATTTTGTGCTCCAAAAATCATTATATCCTCCTAATGGATATACCATCAATTATTCTATAATTTTTTGTATTTGAATAAATAGAAACAAATTCTGGCATGCTTCATTCGGCAAACACACAATTAAAAATTGTTTTATTATGGCCGGATATCTGACACAATATGGCGGCGGCACGTTAGTACAATAAAGTGTCAAATGGTACGTCATTTGCATTGGACAGTACACTGCGTTGTATTTCGGAACATACCCTTTATCTATTCCACCATAAGTGCTATGCACACATATTTTGAAAAATTAATGTCGTTATTTAGTAACCAAAAAGTTCAGAATTTGACTTGTAGCATAGTTCTCTATACTATAAAAGTTATTCACTGATGCATCAATGAGAATTTTACTTAATTTTTTATTAATAAATATTAAAATTGTTAGTAATTTTGTTTACATCTAAGTTTAAAATGCTGGTACTAAGATATAGTGTACAATGGCAGACACATAGCAAGTTCAAATCTACTAGTGGTTAAAATGGGTTTTAGTTTCACAGTCCATATCCTTAATCTACTTACATAACTAATTTAGGTAATAAAAAATTATTTCTAATACTATACAGGGTTATTTTGAAATAAATGGTCAAATTTACAGAGATTAAGCATTAGTAATATAGGCAAATGGTGAAGAAAAATTAATTGAAACAATCTCAAACATTCTGTCTCTTTTATGTTATAATTGCATGGTAATGCATTATTTTTACTGATTTTACTGTTCATGCACACATTTGTAAAGGTAGATTGGTAGACAAAATTAGTTGCCCATAAATAACATTCAATTTGGGATAATTTCAAATAAAAGTAGAAGCCGTATTTACTCATATTTTCAAAAGCTGCGATAACAGTATATCATTATTTATATATTTGAACCTAAGTTTAAAACTTGACTACTCTTTGAAAAACAACCTTGTATATTAAAACTGATTCCTTATGATAGGTTTGAATGACAAGTACAATCAGAACACTAACTTTTGCTTCTTCAGTCACTATGTATTTCAAGACTTAGATTTGACAGAGATGGAATTGGGGAATCGGAAAAATCACCAGATTCATCATCACGCAATTTGTTATGGTCACTCAAACTATTTTTTAATTTGTTCGTTATAGATTTAGAAGTTTGGGATGAATTTTTCTCAATATATTTTTGTGCCAATGAATTACTTTTGTCACTTATAATGTCAGCAGCTTCCGACGTAGAAACTGAGCTTGGTGTGGTTATTGACTTCTGATCTGAGTTTTCACGTGATAAAAGCTTGTGCAAACTGCTCTCAATATATTTTTCTTGTATAGATTCCGATTCTACCTCCCTACTTGCTGAATCCTTATTACCAGAAGTAGTTGATGTAAAATCAAGACTATAGCCTGTTATATCATTTCCTGAATCTTCAGACCGTTGTTTGTCATTTTTATTCATTTCATTTTTATATTTATGGTTATTATTACTGCTTTTTAAGGAACTTAATGGATGTTTTGGTGAAGGCAATTCACTTTCTATTTTGGAATGCACTTTAGCATGCTCCAAAATATTTTTTCCATCTGAATAAGGTACACCTGTAGTATTAATCAAAACTTTCTCTAAAGGACTCAGTGGTTTGATTTCAATATAAGACGTGTCACTAACACTGCTTGCATTCTTGTTTTTTTCTGGTTCTTGTACACAGATTCCAGCATTTTGAATAATCTGGTTTTTATGTTCTTGTGAACTAAAATTATTTTTAGTAGGACTCACTTGGTTAGCTAAGCTATGTTCACTTGGTGTGTACTCTGAACTTGTTTTGTCTCTTGCTGAATCACTTGAAGTATCTGTGTCCGAATTATCCAGAGGTAATCTGAGATGCAATTTATTTTTTTCATCCGAGGAGTTGTCTGAATTTGTGTGACTTGTACTACTAGTTGAGTCTTCATGCACAATATAAGTGTTATTTTGTTCATCTTTATACATATTATCGCTGCTATTCACACTGTTCTTATTATGTCCAAACAATTTCTTTGGTTGTTGTAATACATTTTTAACAAGTGTAACTAATAAAGGTTCTGTATCTTTATTTCGTTTTGAGAGCTTCAATTTTTCGGAAAGTGAGCTATGGCCTTCGTAAGAGTATTCTTTTCCCTGTCGTGATTCTGACATATAAACAAACAATGTGTTTTTAAGATTACACAATTCAAGGAATTCATGAACTAGGGAAAGACATAAGATACCTTCAGGTATTTTTAAAATATTTTCTAAATTAACATTTTGTTTAATATTTTCGCAGTCGTCTTCAAAAACTAAAAAAATGTTTGCTCGCAGCAACGCACGTATTTTAGCCAGGGATCCATTTTTTTCTAATGCTTCTACTACTAAGTCTCGAAGCTCTGTATCTTCAGCTTGTGCCATTATGGAATAATACGAACTCGAATATTATTTTAGTTACTGTTAATAGGATTTTTTATGTTACAAATGATAATAATCTATAGTGTTATTAGTTGCTAATTATTATTTATTATGATTATGAATATGAACCAACGTCATTTCTGTTACATTCTTACGTTGTTTTTCTTACGATTCGTCAAATGAGGCACGCAAATTTTTTAGACCATACAGCCTTATCTGATTTGTATTTTGTTTACAAAATACCTCACATTATTACATTATCACTTATGCTAAAGCGTCACTTTACAAGGTACTTGAGGTATATCGACGACAACTTAACTCAGCAGACAGTTATTATAATGATATATCAAGGTGCCTAAGCGAATAAAAATCTGAGATTCTAGCAGTTTTTATTAGTTTGTGCTTAGGCGTAAAAACAACATTTCATTTTCAAATCGTTTTTACAAAAAGCTTATAAGCTATATAAGTGGGTATATAAGTGTAGTGCGTAAATATATAAGTGCATTATGATTCGTAAAAGCGATGCCATTTTGTGAATTAAGTGTCTGCGCGTGAGAACTCTTAGAAAAAAAAAAAACGACGAAACAAGTGCTTTGATGTTGATATAAAGCTCAATTTATTTTGATCGCTTGGGCGCTTTTTGAATTAGAGTAGCTGTCGTCAATATCTTCCAAGAACTTCGCAATATGACGCATCAGCATATTGTGAAGAAAAAGTATATAAACATGAAGATTCCGAAAGAAATGAAAGGCTCAGAAGGCCTAGAACCCAGAGCCGTAGAGCCAGTTAATTAAAAAAATCAAATTGCCATAAAATACATATTTTTTACGTATACAGAGAAACTTATAGACTAATGATTAGCGTGGCCTCGAGTGAGAAAAGACCATAACGTAGACAAAAAATTCTCTGTCTACGGTTTTAGGTTATACAATCTTTATGACTCTTAACCCTAGATACATAACGTGAGTCAAAACAACTCACGCGCGAAACGTTTTCATCTGTCTCTTTCCAACCATTTTATTTTTCACGTCATCTGCCCGAGCCAACTCAGTACGCGGCCAAAGGTCCCCTATGGTACATGTGTATTGCAGGTGAGCATTGTATATACGTAGATTTAGTGCAATCGTGAGTCAAAATGACTCCACGTTAAGTGATTTGTAACATTTTTAACTTAACCATCCAAATGTTATTTTGATTGTTTTAGTTTATTTTGAACATATTTTGATAATATGTATTTGTTTTTGATTTTACAGTTGATTATTCAGCTAAACCTACCGCGCGATGACTTCATCTCGGGCGTTGCAAGACTTTCAGATCGAAGAGTTTTTGGAGGAAGAATCGGAAACTGTCGATGCTTGTAGTGAAGAAGAGGATAACTTAAGTGTAGATGACGTGCAAAGTGACTACGAGCATGATTTGATAAATGACTTTATTTTAGAAGAGGTTGCAGAGGTAAGTGAAATTCTCTTACAACACATCGTCCTCCAACTTCGACGTCAGATCGAATAATCGTATTACCTCAAAGATCTATAAAGGGAAAAAACAACCACTGCTGGTCTACAATAAAGGGGCGTACTCAGACAAGAACTTCCGCTCTAAACATTGTACGAGTATCAAGAGGGCCAACAAGAATGTGTAGAAATCTATTTGAACCATTGTTGTGTTTTGATATATTTTTTACTAAGGAAATCATAGAAGAAATAGTAACCTGGACCAATGTAGAGATTCGTCAGAAACGAAATCTTAACGATTTATCAGCTATCTTCAGAGACATTACTTTTGACGAGATTAGAGCCTTCATTGGAATTTTAACATTGACAGCTGCAATGAAGGATAACCATCTAACGACTGTTGAATTGTTTGACACTAGCATCCCTCCGATTTGACGATAAATCCATACGTCCTACTAATCGTTCTCAAGATGTTTTTGCTCCTATCAAAAAAATATGGAATTTGTTTATTACCCAGTGTAGAATAAACTATACTCCGGGATCTCACGTGACTGTCGACGAACAATTATTGGGATTTAGAGGAAGGTGTCCCTTTCGTATGTATATACCCAATAAGCCCAATAAATATGGTCTGAAAATACCTATGATCTGTGATAGTTCGACAAAATACATGTTTGATGCCATTCCATATTTAGGTAAAGGAACAGAAGCAAATGGACTTCCTCTTGGAGAGTACTTTATGAAGGATTATTATCTAAAACTATCCATGGATCGTGTAGGAATATTACCTGTGATAACTGGTTCACATCCGTACCTCTGGCTAAATCTTTACTCCAGGAGCCTTATAAATTAACTATAGTCGGTACAATTCGCCCGAATAAAAGGGAAATACCGGAAGAGCTAAAAAACACTAGATCCCGGGCTGTCGGTACCTCTATGTTTTGCTACGATGGCCCACTGACTTTACTGTCTTATAAACCCAAACCTTCAAAGATGGTTTATTTACTGTCATCCTGTGATGAGGACGGTGTCGTTAAATCTAGCTCCGGAAAACCAGATATGATTGAATTTTACAATCAAACAAAGGGAAGAGTTGACTCGTTCGACCAAATGTGCTCGCAGATGACATGCAGTAGGAAGACAAATAGATGGTCCATGGCGTTTTTCTACGGCATGATGAATATGGCTTTTGTCAACAGCTACGTCATTTACTGCCACAACATGCTTTCCAAAAAGGAAAAATCCCTAAATAGACGGGCATTTATGAAACAATTGAGCACAGACTTAGCAAAGCCATGGATGGAGAAAAGGCTTGAAATTCCTAATCTGAGTCGCAAATTACGCGAAAATATACAAAGTATATTACCGAATTCCCCTGCTACGAACTTACCAGGTGATGATGAACCTGCTGCAAAGAGAAGGAAATACTGCGCCTTCTGTCCGTGGAAACTAAGAAGAAAGACGCAGGCAGAGTGCAAGAAATGTAAAAAACCTGTCTGTGGAGAGCATAAAGTATTGACTTGTTTAGACTGTATGTAGTTCCTATTTTGAGACTGAAATGTTAATATTTTATTATTTTTAATGTTTTATTTTTATTTATTTTTATAATTTTTTTTTAATTGAAGAAGATAAGTGATCTTTACCCAAAGAAATATAAATACTCGTTTTAAGTTTCATTATTCGAAAGCACTATAGTTTTTGTTTGTTTTTAAGTAAAAGAAAAATAATACAAATTAATAGTTTTTTTTATTTCATTTCTTAGACTGGTGTAAAAACATTATTCTATAGAATAAATTACAATATTAAATAAAGATAGCGCAATCGGGTCGAAAACATCGGGGTATCAAATAACGTTATGTATCTAGGGTTAAACATATTTAGATAAAATTTAAATGTATTTATATAGTTCGGTAACGAAATTTAAAATAACAAATGAATTTTATACGTAATACCAGATAAAATGTACTAAACTTATGAGTGAAATGATATACCGGTGAGTTTACGCTCACTATCACTTTTACATCCTAAGACACTACATCTAACCATTTTTAAAGTTTTCAATTGTTATAAGAACTGGACTGAACACGACACTTTTTTTCTCACTTAAACCAACTCGTAAACTCCTTAAATCGCTACGAACTGTCAAGTTGTTTAGCAAAGTGTAGTTTGCTAAATAAAAAAACCGCCACGGAGAAAGGGACAAACAAACACACCGCTCTGTCTCATTTCTATGCAAGACGTATGCATAAATCTATCTTTTTCGTGTGCGAATGCGAAAGATGGCGTCAATTTGTCTATAGGTTTCTCTGTCTACGTTTTTTTTAGGAAAAATCTGTGAAGTGTAGAGGTAGAAGAATCGCTATCCTGAACAGATTTTAAAAACTATTCATATTTTTAATTATTTATAGGTAGAGGTATCTATGCTTGTACAGTCTAGTCTAGCGTGTAATTTGTTCATAAAATCGTTCACATTCACATCAAGTTTTAGGCGATTTTGGTTAAGACAATAGTATTTCAAGGCATTTAAACGGACATAATAATTTAAGAATTATAACACTATTGGACTTGTTTCTCCGTGTCTCCTAATAGTTCACATGCGTAGATATAAAATGCACAAATTCATACCATTTTTACGTATTTTAATTCGGTTTAAATGATTATTTAAGCTATAAATATAGGAACATCAATCTGCCAGCATTCAAGGGTTTGCCCAAAACTCTATACGTTATAATACAACACATGATGCTTTCTCAGAAAAATCGGACGTCATGCAGCGATGAGGTGAATTTTATAGAGAAATGTATGCGTGTCATGATCTTAGTGAAGGATCCGGGGGTGACGCCATGACTGGCACGCCAGACACGGACCTCGATGACACTGAGGTCATCAGCATGAAAGAGATTGAACGTGCGATTCGAAGTTTGAAATGTGGTAAGGCTGCGGGACTAGACAGAGTTACTGCTGAAATGGTCAAGTACGGTGGGCCTCGCGTCTGGGACAGCTTTCGTCTGCTGTGCAATTTGTGCTGGCGGACGGGAGATGTCTCGGATGATTGGCGATCCGCGGTCATTGTGCCTTTATATAAAGGTAAAGGTTCACATTTTGACTGCGGGTGCTATCGGGCGATCAGCTTGACCAGTTTAGCAAGTAAAGTTTACTCGAAGGTTTTGACACGTAGGATGCAAGAGAAATCGGAAAGATTCTTATGGGAGGCACAATGCAGATTTAGACCTGGAGGAGGATGCACGGATCAAATGTTTTCTCTCCACATGATCACGGAAAAGCTTCTGAGTGTTAACCAGAGGATTTTCTGTGCTTTTGTGGATCTGGAGAAAGCATTTGATAAGGTTATAAGGAAGAAAATGTGGGAACTGTTGCCGGGATATGGTGTGGATGGTCGATTGTTAAGGGCTGTGCAGTCACTTTACTATGACTGTAAAGCCTGTGTGCGGGTAGGGCATGACCTGTCACCCATGTTTAGCGTCCAAGCGGGCGTAAAACAGGGTTGTGTCATGTCTTCCTGGCTGTTCATACTGTATCTCGACAGCTGTTTACAGAAGCTGAAAAATAGCTGTTTGGGTGTGAAATTGGGTGACATTAAAGTAAATTGTCTGCTGTATGCTGATGATGCAGTGCTTATTGCACCATCAGAAGCAGAACTGCAGGCATTAGTCACGTGTATGAAAGAGGAATGTGAAATTAAAGGTCTCCGTTTGAATGCTAATAAAACTAAGGTTCTGGTATTTGAAAAGGACGAAGAGAGAACGAAATGTGAAATATGGGTAAATCAGGAATGTCTAGAACAGGTAAATGAAATTGTATACTTGGGGAGTGCTTTCAGCCGGGATGGAAGATGTGATTTAGATGTGGATAGGCGTGTCGCTGCCGGGAACAAAGTCCCTGAATGCATTAGTCAAAAGGCAAGGTGTAGTGAAGAGTGCACGCCTTGCAATACATAACGCTGTGTTGGTACCGACTTTGTTATATGGCAGCGAAACCTGGGTATGCCAGAAGAAGTATAAAAGCAAGTTGAATGCAGTGGAGATGCGATCTCTTCGTAAAATGTGTGGCGTTACCATAGCCGATCGAAAGCGAAACGAAGAGATTCGCAATATGGCAGGATTGAAAGATGACCTTATCACAAAAATTGATAGGGGCGTACTCCAATGATTTGGGCACGTTGAGCGAATGAGTGAAGACCGAATGGTGAAGAAAATATATAGAGCGAAAGTAAATATTAAAAGGTGTCGAGGTAGACCGAGACTAACTTTCGAAGACCATATGAGCAAATTGCTCGAAGAGGGGAAGGTCAAGAGTACTCGGATACCTAGACGTGCATGTGTGAAGAAGTTAATGAACCTGAAAGAAGCGAAAGAGGTATGTAAGGATCGTGACACTTGGCAATCTGTTCTCTCTGGCTACCCCGTTAGGGATTGTGCGTGAAGAAAAGTAAGTAAGTAAGTAAGTAAGTATGATGCTTTTGTCCATTATGTCCATTGTTGTAGTCATGCCGTGATTACATTCACTTCTGTCATGCACTCATTAATCATCATATTTACATTACAGCCCTTCACAAGTCCGCTCCTGAATACAAGCCTTCTTCAAGGAATGCCAAAAATCACGGTCCTGAACTACCCTCATTTATCGACTTCTTGCATGTCTTACCAGGTCGTCACTACATCTAGTGGGGGGAGGGCACCACACTTCACCTACCGATACGAGGCTGCCACTCTTTATACATCACATGAACTCATTACAGCCTACCAAAGTCCAATGCTAAACATAGGCCTGCTCATACATTGCCCTTATTAGGAATATTTGCCAAAGTTGACACGCTTTTTGTTGGCAGGCGGGTTATTATTTCCTAGTCTGCAGTGTTTTGAAAGATGCTACTGCTCATATCTTGATTGATCCCTCTGTAACTTCTTTCGATATCAACGGCGATATCCACGGGACGACATCGAGCAGCTTCTTACACAGCCACTACACGTCATACCAAAGTCAAGCATTTTGTTTAAATAAAATAAAATATTAATAAGATTTTTGTTCATATTGAAT